ATAGCCATTGGTTTTCTCCAAAAAGATAAATGTCTCCGAACCAGATATAATAATGTCTGGTCAGACAATTCCACTTTCAGCTTCGATAAGTTTGTTGGGGGTTGAAATGGACACCAATATGTTTTGACACAATCACGTCACTGGACGTGAACGTGCGAAAGCCGTTTCTCAAAAGCTCGGAACACTGTTCTGAACTAGCACCTCAGCAACTTTTGATGCTTTATAAAGCTCAGATCAGACCTTCTTTGGAGTATGTATGAAGCTCCGCCCCTAAGCATACCCCGAAGCTGCTGGATTTTATCCAGAAAAGAGACATCCGCCAGATTGGAGACGCAAACATCACTTGCAACCTTTCTGATCTCGAACATCGAAGAATGTACTTCACGACGTTTCGATTGTTAGTATCCACAATTGTCTTCTGGTGATAACTGCACTCATTTCTCCGAGATCTGACTATTTATAGGTCATTCGAGTGCTTTCACCTATCCCATTTTCCTTCTCACCGCTTTATCGGTTTTAGCGAGAGCTGACCGTTTGGTGGGAGTTGGTCGTGTTCCGCTTGAATAGCGGTTTCCATATGTTACGTATCTCTACGCTAGCTTGGCTAAATGCGTTGTTGGACAACATATATGCGATTTCTTCGAATTTTCTCCTGAACCAGTGTTCCTTCTTGTGTATGATTTCAGCTTGAGGCCACTTCATATTATGTTGATGAGTCCGTACATGCTTTGCTGGTGGTGCTGACGAAAAAGCTACTGTGATAGAGAAACATCTGATATATCTTTTGAAGATAAAGTTTCTGAAGGGTCAGAAACATCAGTCTCTCTTTTGGATAACTTGAAAGATGAAATGTTTATTCCTCGCATAGGATTATGATTCCATTTCGACGAAAAAAATATTTTACAGAGTTATTTGAAACAATTCGAGAGCTCAACCCATCAATGCCGAGAGCATCGATCAGTTAGTCGAACCAGTAGCAACATTTTGCCATAATCCTTTCAATTTCCTGCTAAAAATATCGAAATATGTTCACTTATCATATCTAATGACGTTAAAGTATTCTGCCATGTTTCACACCTGATGAAAGATTTTCTTTATTTCTCGCTCCATCACAAATTTGAGGTTCCTATTCTGGTCAGAGAGGAGTTTCTAAAGAACTATATGTTTGGCGATCGCATTTTCTATCAATGTTTATAACAATGATAATAATGACTTCATTGTGCATAAGTAACACACAAAAGAGAGTGAGGGTTAGCCTATGGATATCTTTCACCCACCTGATTAATGATAAAATTACCAGTTTCGAGTGATAATATATTGGAACATCATAATTAAATTTTTTTCAAGCACACATAATTTAAAAGAGAGAAGGTGATACATATATCTCAAACTGCAGAAAGGCAAAGGAAAACTCTACGTCACTCCATACTGTTCAACAAAGTTGATTTCAAATGATGTGTCACTTCATTTATGGATGAATTCAGGAAAGAAATCATCCTGTTCAAGTATAACGGTGCCAGATAGGAAATGTAACAATCCAAAAGATTCGATAATTGAAAAATGTTTCTGCTTGTGATGCTCTAGTTTCTTTCTGCTTTTCTTCACGTATTGAATGAAGCAGGCTGTGACTCCTCTTTGTCATCTTGTCCTGTTGATAACCCAAATCCCGTGGCTTCCTGAGACATAATTGAATTCAGAATGTACCGTTTTTTTTGTACGGGACTTCAACCCAGTGTCGCCGACGCTTTGGTAATCGAAGATCAATCCATATATGGGATGATCGAAAAGTTTGGTTTCTTTTTCATACAGAGCGGTTCATAGTCATCAGCACGAATTGAAAGGAGTTACTCGGAGTCTTTGGCCACTTACAATTACAATTAGGTCATTAGCCCACTTACAATTCAAGAACCACTTGCTGACCTACAACCACTGTGGAATTCATGCAAGTTATTGCTTCTTTCTGCGGCTTCATTTTCAATGTTTTTGTTTTTTTTACTGTAAGGCGAAAATTTTATTGTCTTTTTTGTCTGATGATTTATGAATTGCGCATGCGCTTGAGCTCTCGTGACGTATTATCGTTTGTTGGCGGCATTTGAATTTCTGCATCCAATTTGGGTTGATGTGTTATGGGTTGCGATACCTGCTCTGATTTCATTGCTAAGTTCATATTCATTTACCGATCGTTTCTCGTCTGTAGTACCTACTCTTTGGTGTGTATATGTATATACGTTGAAAATAATTATATAACTTGAAATATCAGGAGGCATTGCCTAATGTATAATCTACTTGCTTGATTGCTTTGACTCATATCCTACATAGATACAAGAGGTTATAGGTCTCGAAAACATTTTTAAATCGTTACCTGTTGTTTTATATCTTTTAGTAAGATTAAAACTAGTGGTATTGACACATTTAGGATGTTCATGAGGCAATTTATCTGGCGCCCCCTTCAATTATAAATCTTGAAATGAAGAACCTCCCTGTCTTCACTGAAACTAGTCACAAACACCCACCAGTCTCGGGTTAAGTTGATAGGTGACTTTGTTATCGATAGGTAAGGTTACAAAAATATATGTCAGAACAGGTTCCTGAATTCCAATACTGGTCAAAATGGATGTTTTTGGCCAACCTCAGAGGTGGCTAAGCATTATCTTCTGCTATCTCCAGTCGTATTGTTGCACATCTATAACATGAATCGAACCTATATACAAAATTTCAGCCTCCGAAACTAAAGCGGTATGGAGAAACAGTGTAATTTTCATATGTAAACGCGCCGTTTTTACCTCAACGGGGGGAGGGGCGTCTCAGTCGGAATATTTGGAAATTCCTCCTTGATACACATCAAAAGGTGGAATAGCATCCACTTCAATCCAGCAAATATCCTATTGATTGAATGCAATTATCTAATAACACACAAACAATCGCATCAAGTGAGATAACGAAGGTCACCTTCTATATTTTCATCACAAAAGTAGAAATAATTTTTCAACGGACTGTTTTTTTTCTGATTTTCAAAATATTCTCCTCCTGAGGTAATACATTATTGCATGCGTTGAAATCTGTTTGAACACCTAATATTAGAAAGCCTCCTTGATGAAACCACAGCAAATCTTCACAATCTTGTCAAATTACTTCCTGTTTGGAAACGTGTATGAATCTGAAAATTTTATAATCAGAGCTACACTACTGAAATGAATAGCGAGCGTCCAAAACAATTCTTGATCCAGGATGTCCAAAAGTCTTTCGACCTCAAATTCTTTCTTAGTACTTTTTGTCATCGAATAACTGGAAAGCTGAATGAAAAATCAATATCTTAAAAGTAATTTGATCTAAAGCCCTTCGTTTTCGATCATAAAACCCCCACACTGATTTTATTATCGTGAATAACTGTCAACTCAATGTTTCATCTGAGCTGTTGCTGAGCCTATGGTTTCAGAAGGCGATATTTCTCAAATATCGTTATCGAATATCTGATAGTCATTTGTTAAATGAAAAAATTCATCCTCTCAACAATTTGAAAACATTTTTAAATGATCCAATGAGGCTCATAGTTACTTCCACTTCAATGGAGAGATATATCTCCTAAAAATAACCCCTTTTGATCCAAACCAAACGAACGAGTATCTCAATTTCTGAAATTCATCTATCCAAGTTTGCTTTGGAACCCTTCATCGTAGGGTAACGTTCAGAATCTGACACAGTTCGTGACAATATGCCATAAATGTTCGATTTTAATACTGTAACCTGGAAACCGTGGGGTTAGCAGAGCAACTAGCACGCCCGCGGTGCCATATATGTCCAATAATTGCGGAGAGAGTCAGTTATTTTTTATTTTCGAGTTAACCGTTCTATATAACAGCGTTTACATTATAAATATGGCCGCATTCATCATTTTAGTTATGTCTACGACATATCTACTTGTTTCACTATCAATCACTTCATTTGAGAGTGGATAATTTCGTACTCGAAATCACATTATTCTACAGTATGTATAGTAATAGCTCAAAAATTAGTAATAGATCTTCAATATATTTATAAATACCAACTCCAATCAGAAATACATCACAATACATCAATTCGCTAATTAAGCTTAGTAGCACAATTGGGTCAGTACCGGTGCAATTCTGCTCCGCTCTAATATATAGTAACTCGTCCGCTAAATTCTGAAGTTACAGTCTTTTGAAGTTGATGATTATTGACTCGCCTTCCTGGTATTAGCAGAATGCAACAGACCGAGTACTTTCGATCAAATAGATACCCTTCATCTACAATTTACGTCCCAATCCACAGTGTATTTTCTGTGAAAAGCTCCAGCCAATATTCCCACACTAGAATCCACAATACTGGAAATCACTTCGCGATATCGCAGCATCTAATCAGGCGAGTTTTGAAACAACTCAATATGAACAAGGCGTCTGGTACTGATGAAGTGCCTGTCATCGTACTCAAAAAGTGCGCAAATGAACTCGCAACAGTATTTTGCAGACTTTTCAACCTGTCTCACCAGAAAGGCGTTTTTCCATCTTGTTGAAGCACAAAAAAAGAAAGAAAACCCTTTCCAATAACTATAGACCAGTCGATTTGCTATTTGTAATATCAAAAACCATGGAGGAAGCCGTAAATCACCATATCCTCAAATATTTGGAAGGCTTCAACACATTGAGTGATCATCAATATGGCTTTGGGAAACAAAGGTCAACAGGCGATCTTGTATTGTGTCACCCATAATTGGAATAACGCAATCGACTAACATGCATATCTTCACTCTTTTTAATTTTCCATAGCATGCTATGTGAATCACATAAATGTATACAGAAAATAAACATTATTATATTATTTTGATAATTATGATACTTTTAATGAACTCGACTTTGTATTTCAATTATCCTATCCAGGCTCATCTATTGCCAAACATCAAAATTCATTTTCCGTTTTTCGTATTTCCCAAATACCGAAATAAAATAATTATTAAAAAAAATATTATATTTAATAATGTTCCATCACTGGTTGATTGTCATTCTGGCAAGCTTCCTCACGAGATATCCCTTCAACAACGAAATCGAACTTATTTTTGCACATTCCGGCCCAGCATACTTCCTCCTGATAGTTTGAAATTTGGAAGTCTCACTATTGATCAAAATTTTTGCCAAGCAAACTACAACTCTTTCGAATTCCGCATATTCGTAACCCGTATAAAATATGAGGGTTGGAGTCCAAAGACTCGACAAGTCGCTAATGCTATCCAGAATTCCCATTGACAGGCAACAAGCTGCAGCAGCTTGAAGCGAAGGTTTCACGTGGCACATGTCGTATGCCATTAGTGCCAGCTCCAGCATATATTTACCCAAGATATGGTGGACCCTGCGCACGTTAGCAATCTGAACGTACCTCCTCAAAAAATCAATAGATGAGGGGCGACCCAGACCAAAAGCGAGCTTATCCAATATGTCTCTCTCCATTTGAAGAATTTTCCTTCCAGAATAAATGCGGCCGCCTATGAACTTCAAATCATACATGCACGGATAGAACGTCTCTTCGTATTTAGCAGCTATCAAAAAAGCAGATGTCCCAACTAACTGATATATATCACGTCCCACCTGCGCGTTGTTCTGTGTGTACCTGTCAATGAGGCTAACACACATATGAAGCGTCTCAATACGCATTTTGAATTTCAAACGCATCTGTACCAGCCAGTCGACGAGTTTTTCTCGCATATTCGGGGTTGGTTGACGACCATCGAGGAAACCTTTCCTGATAGGATACTTGTCCTCCAAGGTCCTCATATACCTGAAAATGTCCTGGATGTATTCTGTTACCATATAAGGATCATTTCTGAAGTCTTTATCGGGGTCATCAATATCTAGTTGCCCGCAGAAGTATGATTCGACAACAGGCTTCGTAACGAACCTGTCTTCGGCAACTGTGTTCTGGTATTTTATGTTTGACCTAGATTTTTCAGTATGGGTAGGTTGCATGGCAACTGGTGCGATCGAGTTGAATGTCGAAGGATGATCTGGTTTCCGATCTGGAAGTTCGCCATTTTTCTGGATTGAAATCCACAGCTTATTCCTAACTTCCCCAAGATTATCCGTTGAAGACTCCGTTAATATGAGTTTCGAAGCGAATCGCGATCGAATGCTTTCCTGATTGGTTTTGGCAGTAACACGTGATCTAAAATCCATTATGCAACACTGCAAGTATAATCCAAAGTAAGTCACAGATATTACAATACTCCTCCAACTGGCTGTCTTTCACAATGTGTTCAACGTATACTTCAACTCACTAAACTAATAATTGATTGTCAGAATCTTCCACTTTTATATATTCATGATGAAATGCTAAAGAGAGAGGTAGGTACAGGTATACAAACCAGGTAATCAAAATATTTACCTGTTTCACTTTATTGAAGACAAAATCAGATCTACAGGTAACACGTAATAAAGTACTCACATCTGGTATTGGTACTTGGCGCAATAAAATATTTCCGACGGTACGTACTCTGAAAACACGTCTGACCCGGTCGACTGCCATGACTGTTGGTTTCACATATTACTTTTAATTTTTTACATCGTAAACTGAAATGAATGTATACATCAATATTTGATATATATTTATTATACAAATAAATGCAATAAATCAATAATAGACAAAAATAAATTTCAGCCTCATCCATTGCCTAACATTAAAATTCATTTCATTATTTTCCGTTCTTCGGACACCTCAGAATTGATGACAAAAAGTGTCAAAAACAGCGTTGTTCAAATGTATCTATTTAAATACCAAAATGAAATAATTATTGAAAAAATATAATATTTAATAATGCTCCATCACTGGTTGATTGTCATTCCAGCAAGATTTCTCACGAGAGATCCCTTCAACAACGAATTCGAACTTATTTTTGCACATTCCGGCCCAGCATACTGGTCTATATCCTTCAGGTCGGTAGCTAAAGCTGTTCAAATTTTTACAAAGTCCACATTTCCACCACTAACACAAGCGAATTGTTCACTTGCTTAAACTTGCCTTAGAGAAAGCACAGTCGATTTTCTGGGAAAGGTACTACCCACTATTCCCACACTAGAATACACAATACCGAAAATTATTTTTTGACGTCTATTCAGGCGAATTCTGCCTGCGCAAATCAACTCACACCAGTATTTTGCATACTTCAGTATATTGCAGACTCCTCAACTTCTCTTACAAGAAAGAGGATTTTCCTTAATATTGGAAAATTGTTCGCTTTCAGATCGAAAATCAACAGGCGACCTACTTCTATCTTATGTCACCCATATTTGTAATAACGCAATCGAGCAACATGTAGAATCAAGAGCTATTGCGATTGATATTTCTAAGGCCCTTGACCGTGTGTGACATTAAGGTTTGCTGGCAAAACTTCGAAGCTATAGCTTGTCGAATCATTTTTGATTATGGCTCCTCAGCTTTTAGAAATAACGTTCCCTGCAAGTGGCCTTCGACAAATATATTTTTCGAATATTTTCACCATCAACACTGATGTTTCCCAGAGATCTATATCGTCTCCAACCTTCTTTTTATTGTATATCAACGACTTACTGAAAGAAAGCAAGAATCAAATATAGTGATTTGCTGACGACAGCGCACTTGTTTCGTCATTCCAGTTGGATTCCAGGACATCGGCGGTGAATGCACATCTTCACCGGCAGCAGGAGATTGCATATCATAATGAGGATCTAGAAGTAATTTCGAATTGGAGTGAGAACAACCAGGTTCAATTCAATGCAACAAAGACATAGGCATTGGTTTTCCCCAGAAAGATAAATGTCTCCGACCCAGATATAATAATGTCTGGTTAGACAATTCCACTTTCAGCTTCGATAAGTTTGTTGGGGGTTAAAATGGACACCAATATGTTTTGACACAATCACGTCACTGGAATTGCAAAAGCCGTTTCTCAAAAGCTCGTAACACTGTTCTGAACAAGCACCTCAGCAACTTTTGATGCTTTATAAAGCTCAGAGCAGACCTTCTTTGGAGTATGTATGAAGCTCCGCCCCTAAGCATACCCCGAAGCTGCTGGATTTTATCCAGAAAAGAGCCATACGCCAGATTGGAGACGCGAACATCACTTGCAACCTTTCTGATCTCGAACATCGAAGAATGGTTGGAGATTCGTCTCTTTCTTATAGATACTTTCACGAGAAGTATTCAAGTGACTTGGCACATTTGATTTCACCAAGAGCGGTACATATCAGAAATACGCGATGGACTGTGACTGCCAATCGTTTTGAGGTTCAACTCAGTACACCTCGAACTTCAATGCCATATTGATGATCGCTCAAGATGTTGAAGCCTCCCAAATATTTGAGGAAATTGTGCTTTACGGCTTTTTCAATAAGTTTTGATATCACTGACAGCAAAGTGATTGGTCTATAGTTACTTGGAAGAGTTTTCTTGCCCTTTTTGGGAATAGGTTGAACGCGAGCAATCTTTCGACAAGAAGAAAAATCACCCTTTTTATGAGACAGGTTGAAAAGTCTGCAAGCTCTGCAAGTCTGCGAGTTCATTTGCACACTTTTTAAGTACGATGACGGGCACTTCATCAGAACCAAAAGCCTTGTTGATATTGAGCTGTTTCAATATTCGCCTTACTAGACGCTGTTGGAAAGTAATTTTCGGCATTGTGGATTCTAGTGTTGAAATAGTGGGTGGTGCCGTTTCCAGAAAATCGACTATGGAGGATGCAAATTGTTCAGCTGGTAGATTTGTTTTCCCGATGGCTGATGTTGCCTTTGAATCATCCGATTGTGTTGGTGGTGAAATTGTGGATTTTGTAAAGTTCTGATCAACAGCTTCAGCTACCAAACATAAGAATCTAGACCCGTTGGGATTGACAAGCAGTTTATCCCCAGTTCTTTGATTGTGAAGTTTTTTGCTCAACGCTTATTGACGCTGAAAAAGTTCTATATAATAATATATGGTATTTCTTCAAGATCCAAATACAAATACAAATGAGAAGTGCAAATTGAAAGTTCAAATAAATAACGAGATGCTCGATAAGTAAGTTGATCTCATTTTCATCTATAAACTAGTCAATGGTCCCATTGACTCACCAAATCTCCTTTCCCAAATCAATTTTAATGTACCTCGATATACGTCCAGATCAAATATCACATTCCGCATTAATGTACCCAATTCTCAACACCATTCCTACAGCCCGTTGACCTCTATATGCCGAACTGTCAATAAATACTCTATAGATTTAATTTTTTCTAACTTGAATCAATTTAGAAATAGTTGTATAGATTAGTTCCTAGCTCAATATAAAATTGTTCACTTATACTTACATTTATCTAGAAATAGTTACCTGCTTTATTATTGTATACTCCTTTTATTGGGCCTTGGCCTGTTGGACATAAATGAATAAATAAATAAATATAAGAAACATTGTTGTTTTTTTCGCTTCACTAGTATTGTCGATTGAATCGTTTATGAAGTTTCCAATATACCTGTAAACGTACCCTGAAGGAAACTACCAATACTATTTTGTAACATGTCAAGGAGTCATTCATAACGTAACGTCAAGGAGTCATTTATCATGAGTTAACAGTGAACTGTAACTGTAATTTCTCATGGCATAATATAATAATTGACACAAAAGGTAATTGAACATCACATGAAACGTACATTACTAGATTATCTCTGGGAGACCTTTATCGACATCTCATACAACAATTAACAGTTCTATATATGATTCACGTGTTCTTCTCAAGTGAGTCGCTATTTCTGCCTGTAATGAAGAGCTGATAGGAATCCCACCAATTGACTCCTATTTTCGAAAATAGCTGGGAAAACTCAATGGAAAAGTCTCATGATGATAAGTTTTACAGATTACCGTAGTCGTACTGAGAAATAGATACTTGAATTTTGCGAATTTCACCATAAAATGACTGACAGCTGACGTACACTATGAGTAATTTTTAATTCCAGCTCCTGTAATGAATTGAATACGATACGGGTGGGACAAGTAACTGCAAAACATAGGTACTGAAATAACATGAACATCGTCTTTTGAGTCAGATGACGTCACACTTCAGACGGAATTATTCTTGCAGGTGAAAATTCAACTGCTAATAACTTGCTCATTCGTCAAGATCTTTTCCTTAAATGTTTATGATAATTATATATTGTAGAACATTATCGACGCTCTCATCACTAGGCATTCAGCAGTAGAGATTCAAGCTGTTGCCCTAATGTGAACATCAACATTAAAATTTTTCCGCACCGTTCAAAACTGTCAACATTGGAACAACACTTCAACCCTCTATTGGCCTGCGATGAGATTATCTGTAACCTACTCTTATGGAATGTAGTGATTATCAAATCAAGATCTGTCCATTTTCTGTGTAAAGCAAAGCCACGAGATTCCTGCAGACCACTGTTTGAGAAAAAAATCTTCACTGTAATATCAATTTTCATTATTGAAACTCTATGTCTCATAGTAAAACATCAAAGTCGGTTTTCAATTAACGCATTCGTCACTCGACTAAAAAACAACTTTATTCTGCCCAGTCCAAAATATTTTCTCATTTAGGTATGATGGGTTGGAAGTATTCAATCACCTTTCATTCCATCTGCAGGCCATCAACAGGCCATAACAGGCCTGTTATGGCAAGCGCCTGTGGGAGAGCCTATTATAGTTCATCAGAGTACTACCAAGATACTTTTTAATACGACCTTTGTCTGACTCTCAATACATCTTCAGTAATCAATATTGAAAATTTTTAAAGTACATTCTTATTGGCAATTTTCGTACACTGTTGTATTTTGCTATGTAAATACAAACTGTTTTTGGTATCTTTTTCTGTCCTTTGCTGTTGTATATACATGTTCAGTTTTTGAAAATTTTATTCAACACACCAGCAATTTTTATTAATTCATAGTATATAATTTCACCAGACTAAGTAGCGATAGCTTATATGTGAATATTGTTTCTCAATATGGTTGAACCGCAATTCACTGAGTTTGAACTTTATGAAAACAAAATACATTACTTTCTCCCCATCCATAGTTGATCAGCCATCCCAATTTATCCTTGAAATACATACTTTCAACTGTGATACTGATACATGCAGAAAAAACATGGGTTGGTGCTTTTATTACCACATTACAATATTTACAGACAGCATAAAACATCTTGATCAAGATCATACTAAAAAAAAAAGATTATTCCCTACTCTATTATTCTATGGAGATACCAATCTACTCAATAAAAGTACTCTTCATTTATCAATCATTACTACGAATGTAGGTATAGTACGCATAAAATATTTACGGTGAAAAAAACAAGGATGACCAGATCGACTCTCAACAATAACCTGCAAGTTCACTCTTTCAAAAAATCTTCAACCCAAAGATCATTTATGTATTTTGGTCTAAAATTTTTTAACCTTATCCCACCCGACCTTAGAGGAATGAAAAATCAGAAAACTTTCAAAATACAAGGGAAAAAATGTATATTACTGAACCTCGATAAATTCCGATAGATAAAATTTCGACAATGGTATATTTATTATATTGATTCCTTGATGCATCTAAAAGATATAAAACGAAAACCAATCCATGTTGTCTCCGTTGGTTCCTCCTCATTATTACAACAAACTTTTTTTTGGTTGATTATATACTCTAATACCGCAATTAATTTACATATAAATCAAATTTGAAAGCAACTGGAAGGGTGCCGAAATGCAATACAGGCATCTTCGCCTAGGCGAATAAGTTGATAATTGAATTGAAAAATTGAATTCATTTCAACCAAGCTTTGTCAATAAGACATGTTTTGACTTTGATTTTGAACACATGAAATAAACTGTTATTTCAATTATTGAATGAATTTCTTTGTTTTTTACCGTTTTGACGAGGGTGAATTTTCGAAATTTGCGGCATTATCATTTGTTCTCCC